AGATCCCTGGGGCAGCAGGAGGGCGGTTGGGGCAGGACGTGGCAGCAGTACAGGGCGAGGCTGCCGCCGCATTGCACACAGCCTTTGGTTTGCTGCGCCTGTGTCCAGCCACCTGCCTGCTCTTCTGCCCCATGCTGCAGCGACGAGGAGATGGACATGGAGGAGGGCGTGGACGACAGCCCCGCAGTGCCAACCACCCGCACAGCTGCACGCCGCCCCACAGCCTGGGCGCCCATCACCGGCCGCAAGCGCAGCGCTGTGGAGGCAGAGCTGGCCGATGAAGCGGAGGTGGCAGCTGCTGCGGCGGCCATGGATGAGGGGGAGGCTCCTGCTCGGCGCAGCAGCCTCCGAACCCCTAAACCCTAAATAACCGGTAAGGGTGGCAATTGCAAGAACCATTGAAGAAGTGTGCCTTGTACGCTTTGCCGTCTCCGCTGGAAGGTGCTGCCGCCTGTGGCGGCTTCATATTTCCTGTTCATTTCTGTTGTTCGGTCTCTCTGTTCGTGTTGGTTGGCTTGTAAGAGTTGTATTTCTGACGCTAGAGAGGTGAGATGACAGCGGGAGCGTTGAAGCGTGCATGCCATCACGTGTGCAAGCAGCCCCGCTCCGCCCCGCTCAACCCTCAAACATGGCTCTATGGGGTCAGTTCACGTATGGGAGGGGAGCGCCGCGCGGGCTGCCAGGAGGGAGCGGGGGCGGGGGTTGCCCAATCGGGAGGGTGCCACATCAGGGGGCAACATGCTGCGGACGCCTCAGCAGGCCCTCCCCAGCCGCCTTGAACGCCAGCCGAATGTCCTCTTTCGCGCAGTGTGCCGAGACCTCAACCCCTCTGAAAGCTGTAGCTCACGGCAGCCTTGGCAAGGCATCACACAGCCGCACCAAGCTTTCACTCACCCTCCCCGCCAGTCTCCGTCGTCGTTTCAGGCCTCTGGCCACCCCGGCACGGTGGGACGGCAGCGGACAGCGCCGGCCATATGCAGGGAGGGGTCCTCCTCCGTTCCTCTTCAGGCGGAGGCGGAGCCGACTTCTGGTCGTCGGAACAAGCGGGGCTGTCCAACCCGGGGCAGCAGGACCTGGATAGCTTCTTGCAGGGGCTCCTCAGCGAGACCGTCGATCTCAACGCGCCCCTTGTGCCTGGCCCCCTGGCCGTCAGCTTCGGCCTTAGCACGGACTCCTCCGTGAGCTGCCTGCCGCCCCGCGCCGCGGTCGCCCTGGGGGGGCGGGGCGCCCAGGGCGTTGGCGTCGCGGCGCCGTCGCACGCTCGTCGCCGCTCGGGCCAGCAGCAGGCAGCAGCGGGAGGCAGCGGAGCAGCCACGGCGTCCAAGGATCAGCTGGTGCCGGCCTTGCCGGGAGGCCCCATGGCGTCGGCCGGCAATGGGCAGCAGGCGAGGCAGCCGCTGGCGTCGCCCGCGGCGCAGCAGCAGCAGCGCGCGGCGGCCGCAGCGCGTGCAGCGCACAGCCTCCGCCTCGACGCGTCCGGGCAGCAGGAGCAGTCTGGCCAGCCGCCGGCCAGCTTCTCGGGGCTGCTGACGGAGCAGGCCGCCGCCGCGGCCGCCGCGCTGGCAGAGGCGCCGCAGGCGGCGGCGGGCGCGGCGGCCACCGAGGGCGGCACCGCCGACGGCGGCGACGGCCCCTCCCAGCCCTTTGGCTCCGCAGACCGCGAGCAGCAGGCCGCGGCGCCGCCGCACCTGCGCTACGACTTTGCCCAGGCCCAGCAGGACCAGGCGGCGGTGGTGGCGCAGTTCCAGCAGGCGCAGCAGGCGCAGCAGGCGCAGCAGGCCGCCGCCGCCGCGCTCTTCGCGCAGCAGCAGGCCGCCTACCAGCAGGCCTCCTACCAGCAGCAGCAGCAGGCGGCGTACCAGCAGCAGCAGGCGGCGCAGGCGGCGCAGGCGGCCGCGGGGCAGGGCCAGGGCGGCGGCGACCCCAACTCAGCCGCCGCTTTCTTCCAGCGCCAGCAGCAGCAGGCAGCAGCCGCAGCGGCCGCGGCCTTCCAGTTCCAAAACCCGTACGGGGCGTGGGGCATGTATGGGCCGCAGTACGGCCAACAGTACGGCCAGCAGTACCCCAATTACTACCCGCCCTACGGAACCAACATGCAGGTGGGCTTGCCTGGTCATTTGCGTGGCTGTGCTGGCTGGCGGCCAGGCCTGCGCCGCGCTCCTGCATCGCTTGCAGCAGGGCAGAGGGCCCGCCGGGCGTGCGGCTACCGGCTGCGGCGCCGCCGACGCAGCCGGTGCCGGCGCCGCCGACGCGCGCCGCGCTTCCGCTGTGCTGCATACCCCCTCTCACCGCCACGCCTCCCCTGCCGCCTCTCCCCCGCGTTTGCCGCTGCCGCAGTTTCAGGGCATGCAGTTCCCCGGCATGCAGCAGCAGGGCGGCGGCCAGATGGGCGGCGGCCAGATGGGCGGCACCAGCGGCATGGGCTTCCCGCCCATGACTGGCGCCAGCGGGGCGGGCGCCGGCAACCCGGCCGCGCCGCCGGGCGTGCTGCCCCCCGCGGGCCCGCAGCTGCAGCAGCAGCTGCCGGGGATGACGGAGGTTGTCCAGCAGTCGGAGGGCGCGGCGCACGGCGGCGCCGCCGCCGCCACCGTCGGCCTGGGCGGCTTTGACGACGACCCCTGCGCGCTGAAGAAGGCCAGGTGCGGCGCTGCCGTGCTAGCAGGACGCTTGCTGGGCATGTGTTTGTTACCGTTCTGGCTGGATCGGCACGCTCTGGTCTGCCAGCCTGCCCCCTCCCCACCCCAGCCCTGGCGCCGCCACCTGCGCGCTCGCGCATGCTGCTTGCTCGCCCCTCGCCGCCGCCGACTGTTGTTCCTGTGCCCGCTCGCCCCCCGCCGCCTCCCGCCGCCACCAACCAACCGGTTTTCCTTGCCACGTGCAGGCTGATCTGGACGCCCGCCCTGCACCGCCGCTTCCTGGAGGCAGTGAACCGCGTGGGCGGGGTGGACAAGGCGCTGCCCAAGGCGGTGATGAAGGTGTGTGTGTGGGGTGGTGTGTGTGGGGTGGGGTGGGTGCGGTGGTGTGTGTGGTGGTGGTGGTGTGTGTGGGTGGGTGGGTGGTGTCGCCGGGCTTAGGTCGCTGCGTGCACGAGTGTGTGACCGGGTGTGTTGGGGGGGGCTGGCTGCAGGCGGCTGGCGTGCACGTGCACGCGAGCATGGGCGGGTGCTGTTGTGTGCGCGTGCCCGCATCGGGCCGACTGGTGTTGTGCTGCCGCCTGGCCCGCCAACGCCGCCACGCCGCCGCCGCCTCTGCGCCTGCAGGAGATGGGAGTGAGCGGTCTGACGCGTGAGAATGTGGCCAGCCATCTTCAGAAGCACCGCATGCGGCTGAAGAAGGAGGAGGAGGAGGGCGGCGGCGGCGTGCACACCGGGCACCACACGCCCGCGGGCAGCGGTCGCGGCGTGGCGAGGGTGCGCCCAGCTGCCTCCGCCTCTGCTACCGCTGCTGCTGCTGCTGGTTTACCTGCTCTGCGGCTGGGGCTGGAGCTGGGGCTGGTGCTAGCTGCTGTCCTGGCTGGGCCCGCCGCCTGCCACGGCGGCGTGTGAAAGCGCGGCGTGTGCGCATTGCCGCCGCCGGCGGTTTCGAGGCTCACCGCCCGCAGGCCCCGCCCGCATCTCTCTGGTTCTGTGTGTGTTAACAGTGTGTGCCGCTGAGTGTGGCCGCCTGCGGCTGCATGGCTGCAGGTGAAGCATGTCGACGAAGATGACATCGCCTCGTGCGG